AATAGAGGGAAAAACAGGAAGACATGGCCCTTAAGCTGTAGGGGAATATGGAAATAATCTAATTATTGGTCATAAGACACTGAGTTTTCTTTAGTACAGGAACTTTCCAACTAAGGTATTAGCTTCATATAATCTTAATACAAAAATGTAATGAGAGAGATAAGAACACACTTCAAGTCATTCTCAACCATGTATATAAGTACAAAAATATTAATGCAAATATTAGCAATGTTTAAATATTATACATATTATTACCAGAACAACTACTTCAAGAATAGAAAATTAGATTTCTGTCCCTTACCCCATTAAAACTCTTTGGAAACTAAGAAAGGGAAGAAACTTTCTTAACTTATTTCTTTTTTTTAAATTTATTTCATTTATGTGTATGTGTGTTTTGTCTGTGTATATGTCTATGTACCACATGTTTGCATGGTGTCTGTGGACCTCAGAAGAGGGTATCAGATCTCTTGGAACTGGGAATTTAACCCAGCTCCCCTGGGGAAACATCCAGTGCTCTCAGCCGCTGAGCCATCCCAGCACCCAAACTTTCTTAATTTATAAAGAATATGTTTTTAAAATCTATGGGAAAAATTATCCTTGAAAAGATGAATGTCCATTAGATACTGTGATGTATACTTGTAACCGCATTTGCCCAGTGGCAAACTAACCAGGACTACAAAGCAGGACTATTAAAGGGAAAGAAAGGTATTAGCTTTCAAAGGGAAAGAAAAAGCGATGTCATATTTTTACCCTTAAAAGTAGGAACTTGTTTGGCAGTGCTCGAGATCAAAACCTTTAGTAAAGTAAGAAAACATAATGTGTAGATAAGTTCAACTAATAGAGATTTGAGCACTATAGTAGAGTTGCTAAATACAGTCAGTTTCAGAAGGCAAAGTAAAGATTTGTTCTGGAATACAAGGACTCTAAGGTTTTAATAATTACTCCCCAACTGGTTTCTGGGGTTCAGTGCCATTCATTAACATTCCATGAGTCTTACTTGTTCTCATTAAACCATCAAAATTAATCTAAATAATACATAACCCTTGGGTGATTGTGCATGCACCTCTACAGATGGATGACATTACTTTTCTTTCTGGTCCTTGGTGGTGGATCCAGGACTTGCATGTGCCAGGCAAGTGCTCTGTGACTGAGCTGTAACCCTAGCCCTTGCTCTATTTCAGGTATGTTTTGCAAAACAGAAATTTAACAGTTTTGAATCATGTATCCAAAGTTTTCCTAGGATCTGTACACACTTGAAGACTGCCTCCCTTTAAAAAAAAAATGCCTCAGAAGAGCGGTAGAGCCATGAAGGGAAAACGCTTGCTGTTTTGTCATCGTGTTGCCAACGCCACCCTTCCCTTTACGCACTCAAACATCTAGTCCCATCATCATTTTATAGCCCAGAGTTCCAGAATTGTGTGTGTGTTTCTGTTTATGAAATGGGTGGGTCTTTCATTTTTAATATTTTTCCACTGAATCTCTCATGCCTGCACTCCATTTTCATACATAGGGACTTGAATTCAATTCCCTCTAACATGGTGGGTTCAGCCAGGGTATCAGCACAGTCATTTGGAAAGCAGATGTGGAAAATGTCAGGCTCTGTTACCCTACCAAACACTCTGTGTTCTCCGCACCTCATTGCCCATCTCATCCCCACTCCTAAACTCATGAAGTTGTTAAATATAAATTAAATGTCCTTGTCGGCTGGTGAGATAATGCATCAGTAAAGTGCTTGTCCTATAAGCTTGAAAACCTGTGTTCGGTTGCTAGCACCTTTACAAATCCCAGGCTTAGTGTCCAGCGCTGTGAAAGATGGAGCTAGACCCTCAAGCTCACTGGCCTACTCAGGGGGCAATGAGAAACCCTGGCTCAAAAAATATGGTGGAAGGATGGAGAAATGGCTCAGCAGTTAAGAGCACTTGTTGCTCTCTTCAGATGACCCGGGTTGGTTCCCAGCACCACATGATCCATTGCTGTCACTTTGTCGACTCCAGTGTTCACCTCTTGTTAACAAACATCCATTCCATTTGTCCAGTACTGGAGTAGGTGGATTCAAAAAGACTTCTTTCTGGTGTCTTCATCTGCCCATTCCTGTCATGAAACTTTAGTATTTTTGCGGGTATTACAGGAGGTACATGCTCATCTGGATGCAGATTTGGCACTGGCAGGTCTGGTCAGCAAATCCCCAAAATCTTCCTCTCTCCTCCTCCCCAGCACTGGGATTACAAGGGCATGCCAAACCATCACACCCACATTTTTAATTGACTATTAGCTCAAGAATTAAGGAATTAAGGTCATGGCAAATGCTTTACTGAGCCAACTCCTCAGCCCAGGCATTAATTTTTATAACCAAAATGTCCATGTGTTCTGGTTCAGCTTGTTGATAGAGCGCTTACTCCTTATGCATCGAATAGAATATTAAGCATCAAAACTAATGGTAGGCAGGCATAGCATGAGTTAAGATAGGCTAACCTGGGCTGCATTGTTATACTCTATTTTATTTGAGATGGGGTCTCACTGTCTGTAGACTAGGCTAGCCTTGAACTCAGGTCTATTTTGAGATATCTAAGGATGTGTATATCAGAGTGTATGCCTCTAGAAAGGGAAATAAGGATGGTATAGAAAACAGGACAGTCTGCCAGGGAGGAGGAAATTGTAAGTGTCTTGAAAAGACAAAGTCACCTCAATGTTAAATAGACTGTCTTAGTTAAAGTTTCTCTTGCTGTGTAAACACCACGACCATAAGCAATTTACAAGATTTATTTCATTTTAGAGCTTTTAGTCTATCATCCAGGGAAGTCAGGGCAAGAGCCTAGAAGCAGGAACTGATAGAGGAGTACTCCTTACTGGCTTGCATGTACTTTATGGTTTGCTCATTTTCTTTCTTTTTAAATTGTATCTTAAGGACAGACATATATATATGTATAAGTTTATGTTAGTGGCATAAGCACTTCTTAGTTCCTTATTTTTTGTTCACCTAATACTCAACAGTCATGTGTTAGCACTTTGACCATTATGAATCTCTGCATTAACTGCAGAAAGTGATTTCTGGCCAAAATCCAGAGCAGCACTAATTTATGAGTCGTAGCAAGAAGGAAGTTTTCAGGCCAGTTATACTTGATTTCTTTGTGACCTACAACAACCAATAGCTCATATGAAGGTATCCCATGCCTGGCACTGAGATTTTCATTTAATAACAACCCCACTTTCTGTGAGGAGTATTGTCCAGCATGCAGGGTTCCTGTGTTAAAACTCATTTTAATTGTATTTTTTTAAATTAGCTTACAAGTAAGGTAATGCATTTCCAGAGAACAATTTCATGCATCTTTAGTTTTGGGTAACCTTTCCTCCACCCTGTCCCTTCACTACCACTCCTACTTAAACTTTTATATCAAGTAATATCAACACACATCCCCATGCATAGTATATGCATTCTGTCTCCTTGCCCATTAAGGCTTTGTCTTCCCCACAATAGGCCCTTTCTAGCTTGACCTCTACAGATAATCCATATTAAACATACAAATAAAAACCACAAAGCTTTGAGCCATATGAGAGCAAATGTGTGACATTTGTCTTGCTAGACCTCAGTTGTTTCGCTTAATATGATGTCCTCCAGTTGTATTCCAATTCCTGAAAATTTTTTAATTTCATTTTTCTTTAGAAATGATTAGAATTCCATTGTGTATATGTACCACATTTTCATTATCCATTCATTAACTGACAGACTTAAAGAATAGTTTTCTTTCCTAGTTATTGTAAATAGAGTGGCAGTGAACATGGATGTACAAAGAGGATTTTAATCCTTTGGGTAAATGTCTAGGAGAAGTATAAATTGAATGTAGTTGTACTTAACTTTCTGGAAAACCTCCACAAGTATGTCCATAGGGTCTAGACCAATTTACATTTTGTGTATAAGCATTTCCTTTCCCTACCTTCTGACCAGCATCTGCTGTCACTTGTTTTCTTGATGATATCCATTCTGACTAGGGTGAAGTGTATGTAATCTCAGAGGAATTTTAATTTTCATTTCCCTGATAGCTAATGATGTTGAAATTTTATAATGTATAGCCGTTTCTCTTTCATTCTCCATTTTAGTAATATCTGCATTAAAGTTTTCTTTTTTTTCTCTGAGCTTATTTGTCATTGTAATTTGAATTCCCGTGAATTTTATGTGAGCCATAAATTATAAACTGAAATAATAGGTTTGTAATGTGAAAGGATTTTATCACTTAGTTGAGCTACTTCAAGGACTCAAAACCCTGTTTCTGAGTGAATGTAACAAGGCCTAGTGTCTTACCCTGGCTCTCTTGTACACATCTCTTTTCTCAAACTGATATACAAGGTGTGGCTTACGGGCAAGGTTCCACCTGACAGCTTGTGTCTTTCGCCTCTGGCAGCTCCATGGCTTCTCCTGACTCTGCCTTCATTCTCCCAGCAGTTTAGTTTTACCTCTATTCTGCCCTGCGCAGGCCACTACAAATTCTTTATTCATTAACCAATAAAAGCAACACATTGACAAAAGGACTTCCCACACCAACAAGGTTGTTTTTTGAGTATGAAAATACAAACATAAATACATACACATGTCACACATATTGCTAACCAATAGTGTCTCCAAATGCTTTTGTTTAATTTACCTTCCTGTGGGATTTTGAGACTTTTTGTCAAGTTACTAGAAATTACCAAATAACCTAACCACACCTTCTATCTTGTTTGTAGATATAAGATACAAGATAAGTTTATGTTTTTGTTAAATAGGATAATCACTCCTTTTAGAAATGTACAGTATTTAAGTCTATCTACTTCTGGGGATGCTTTGCCTCACTCCAGAATTTAAAGTATTTCTAGAACAATGTCAGCAAATATATTTGGGAGGGTTCTTGTTTACAGTTAATAGACATTGACTACCAATAACACTTATTCATGTCTTTGTTTTAGCCTGTTGTATGAGAGTGCAAAGTCCACAATAAGTTATTAAAATATTTCTTGTTTTTTTCTTTTTCAGAAGATGAATAATCTTTCATTTAGCGAGCTATGTTGCCTCTTCTGTTGTCCACCTTGCCCAGGAAAAATTGCTTCAAAGTTAGCATTTTTGCCACCTGACCCAACATACACGCTAATGTGTGATGAAAGTGGAAGCCGCTGGACTTTACACCTGTCAGAAAGAGCGGACTGGCAGTACTCTTCCAGAGAGAAAGATGCTATTGAGTGTTTCATGACGAGAACCAGTAAAGGCAATAGAATCGCTTGTATGTTTGTGCGTTGTTCACCCAGTGCTAAATATACCTTACTCTTCTCACATGGAAATGCTGTTGATCTTGGTCAGATGAGCAGCTTTTACATAGGTCTGGGGTCCCGGATTAACTGTAATATATTCTCATATGATTACTCTGGATATGGTGCTAGTTCTGGAAAACCAACAGAGAAGAACCTATATGCAGATGTTGAAGCTGCCTGGCTGGCTCTTCGAACAAGGTAATCATTATGGGGATCACTGTACCCTGACAGTGGTTAAGTTAAGTAGAATGGAAAGCATTTTTAACATGTGTGCTTTGAACTACAATATGAGGCTATTTGCAGTATATATAGATTAACTATATAACTATATAAATATGTATATGTATGTATGTATATATATACACACTATACATGTAAAGTATGAAACTAACAGTTTGGAATTTTGTATGATGGCCAAAGCAGTCTTTAAAATAGCTGATTTATATGTGGATATCAGTGCCTATGTGAATCTGTGCTCTTTTTGTTTGTTTGTGTTTCTTTTGTTTTTGTTTTTCAAGACAGGTTTCTCCGTGTAGCTCTGGCTGGCTGATCTGTGTAGATAAGATTAGCCTCAAACTCACAGAGATCGCCTGCCTCTGCCTCCTTAGTGCTGGGATTAAAGGAATGCACTACTATATCTGGCTTAATCTTTTTAATATATCCAATTTCTAGTATTGATGAAGAACAAGAGCTGAATTAAACCCTTAAATAATTCCACATATTAAAAAGTATTAAAAGTTTTTGTGTTATCTAACATGTGGAACTGTATCTTAGTTGGGTTTCTATTGCTGTGAGTAAACACCAGGACCATAGCAACTCTTACAAAGGAAAACATTTCATTGGGACCAGCTTACAGTTTCAGAGGTTTAGTCCATTATCATCATGGAAGGCAGCATGCAGAGAAGCGTGGTGCTAGAGAAGGAGCTGAGAGTTCTACATATTGATCTACAGGCATTAGGAAGTGAACTGTACCAGTGTGCATGTCTTGAGCATATATGAGACTTCAAAACCTGCCTCCATAGTGACACACTTTCTCTAACAAGGCTATATCTCCTAATAGTGGCACTCCCTATGGGCCAAGCATTCAAATACATGAGTCTTTGGGGACCATACCTTTTCAAAGCACCACAAACTGAAAATACAGTGAAATTGCTAGTAGTGTAAGTAGTCTTGGGAAATTGATCCTGTTTCCTAGTCTATTTAATGAAGAGGTTGTGGTAAATGGCACCCAAGATCCTGTCCAGTTCTAGAAGTTGACCCTCAAATTAGAATAGGCCTGCCTTGAATTTCTTCTGTCATTTTACAAGTTTAATACATCTTTCGTATATCCTTAAGGTAGTTCAATACATGTATGTTAAAATACTTTTTATTCTGTTCTTATATAGTATAATTTAAGTAACCAAGAAAACGGAAATACAATATGAACTTTTTAATACAATATGATCTTTTTAAGAAAATTGAGAATCTCTAATAATAATAGATTCTGACTTTCTGGTGGGTGGGTCAACAGGAACAAAAATGGGTATGGTCGTCTATACAATCCTCTCCCACAAGCCTCAGTCTCTGTGCTTTCATGGAAAGACTAATGGAAGTCAGTATATCTGCGCTAAGTACAGGTTTACTATCAATTTACTGTGGTTTTGGATATCTGATCATTAAGCAGCTTAAGTAGATTGAGTGATCTCTAAAGTTCTTTTTAACTCATTATTCTCAAATTGTTACTGCCTAACTAGAAGCTCTTGATTCTTGCTCGTCTTGAGTTTTGATATTGCTGACTTTAACCCCAGACCTACAATTGCTATGTGCAGTGATGTTAGGCAGCTGACAACAATAGTATGGTCTCGAGATGTGCTGATGTTGCAGATGCTCATCCTCCCAACTTCTTGGCTACTCGGAGCTTTTCTGGGTTTAAATAGCATGTTGAGCCAGGAATAGGTGTACCCACCTCTGATGGTACCTTGTATACTTGTGGAAGACAGATTGAAGAAGCTGTGGGGAGGTATCTCATTGCCTGAATAGTAAAGGACATAGGAAGAGTTCCTGGTGAATGGTCATATTCTCAAAAATCCCCCTGACCTCTCCAAAAGATTAGACACTGCTGTCCAAATCACTCTTAGCTGCCATAACTGACCGCTCTGCCTTCTAAGTGGAACAGCATAGCGAAAGTCTCTGTAACCCTTAGCCCTACATTCGTCAGCTCCCGTGGCACCTCATCTACACCTGAAGTAGTTTATGGTTGAAACAACTACACTATAAACAAGTAACACCTCACTTCCTGGAGCATCTTAGATAGCCAGCCAATTTTTATGGAATCAGTGACTTCACATACTTAAATCTATAGTGCGGTCAAATGGAATAAAGTGACTTTCTTTAGGGTTTTCACACATTCTATTCCTAACTAACTAAACAATGCCATTTGGAACTCTAGATCATTTTATTATATTTGTACGTTCTGGTGAATAACCATAGGGAGATTTCAAGAAATACTCTAATTTGATCTTAACAAAAAGTCTAAGTTCTGTACTCTTTCCATACTATAACTTTATGCAGCATCTCATCAGTATGGCCAGTTTAGAGAATCACACAGCTTGCTCTTGATGTATAGAGAAACCAAAAAATCTGTTTATTAGATAGAAAATAATATCTCACACTAAATAACACTAAATATTAACCATTAGACCATTGAAATATGAGTGGTACAATATATTCTAAACTTAAAATTACTAAAATATGATGAATGACTTAATTTTCTTTCATTAAATTGAAGTTTTGGAAGACCTTAGAAGTTACTCTCCTAAAAGATTAGAATTGAGCATGAACTAATCCAAGGTATAGAGCTTATTATAACATTGAAAATGATGGCTAAGAAATTTAAATTTTTAAATATAAATTTGGCATTGTTTCTTTATGAGACATTCTATAGCAAATCTTTAGAATAATGGAATATTTCTAACTATATCTTTCAAACTTGTGATTTTCTTAGATATGGCATCCGCCCTGAAAATGTGATTATTTATGGCCAGAGCATAGGAACAGTACCTTCTGTGGATCTTGCTGCTCGGTATGAGAGTGCTGCTGTTATTCTTCATTCTCCTTTGACCTCAGGAATGCGAGTTGCTTTCCCTGATACCAAGAAGACCTACTGTTTTGATGCATTCCCAAAGTAAGTTCAATATTCAAAATCATTCCATTCCAAGAACCTTATAATGTGTATCACTGAGCTTCCATTTCATATATTGATCGCATAGAAATTATGGGAAGCTAGCTTAAAGAGAGTATTAGCACATGACTTATAAAAAAAGAGGTTAAATGTTTGAGAATGAAGTGGTGGCCTTAGATCTTAAGCAGTGGCATGATGCTGGAAAGAGAATGAATTTCAAATGTAAATTAATAGAGCAACAGGTAGGATTCTACAAAGAACAACTTGACTAAGGCTTTTGCCTTGAGCTACTAAAGTACAAAATTTAGTAAGACGCACAGCATGAGAAAAGAATGGGAAGATGAGTAATGATACCTAGTTAGTTGTATGTAACTTGCAAAGAAAATTGACTCTTAAGTGGCTGGAGTAAATACCGCTGTCATATGTGGTATATGTGGTATCGAATAGATTTGAAAAAAAGGACTGCTTCTTGCTTTCCAAGGCGAAGAGTGGTTGCCACCTGCCTTCATCTTTGGAAAAAAAGTTAATGGCCTATTTTTCTCAAGGACAGGGAGAAGGCAAGAAGTTGGAAAGCTGGCACTTTTCATTCGATCTTCTTTCCTCTGTTGGCAGGAATACAAAGGATATTTTTGTGAATGGGAAACCAGAAGCCAAGTCATCACTTGGTTCTTTAGCAGAAGAGCAAAAGTTATTTTGAAAACAGTATTTATTCAATGTTGGACTAGAGAGATGTTACAGACATGAGGACCTGAGTTCTTTCCCTAAATCCCATTTTTAATTTAAAACAAACAAACAAACAAAAAGATATTGATGCTCGCAGGTAAATCAGTTAGTATCAGAGCTGGTGAGGGGTCGGAAATAGAAACTGTTCGATCCCTGGGACTCCTGGACCACTGAACATAGTCTGTTTAGCTCAATGATGGGAGTTACAAAGTTGGTCAGGTGACACATAATCCACTTTTTCTGTCTTTTTCGTGATTGACATACCTAGATATTTCCCAGAAATAAGCTAGTTGGAAAGGAAAACACTGTTAATCCTCTGTGGTAGACATTTCTGCATTATTGTACTGGGAAACGGAGCCTAGAGAGTACAGAGATTGCTTAGCAGTTTCACCGAGTATAAGATTCCATCTTACTTAATAGTTAAAGTGTTTTTCCTCTGTTGTCCAGATTGGAGGGGGAAGGGTTGCAGAAAACATGTTTGTAAGATTTCCACTGCATAGTTTCTTCTCTCAAGTTGCCTTTCTAAAATTCTGTTTGCTTTGGTCTCTATCATACATTTGAAGTGTTCTCTTCAGTATCTGATCATTCTTGGCTATGTACTCTTATGTAAGAGAGGAGAACCAAAGAGCTACTCTGGTACACTTGTGCAAAGAAAACTGTGGAACTCTGCCTTGGATGAAGAAGCCTGCCAGCCAGCATTCTCAGAAGCCAAACAAGCCCCACAGACCCAGCCTTTTATGTGTTGTGTGACTTTTTTTTTAATGTGTTGTGTGACTTTTATGTGTTGTGTGACTGTAGTACCTCTCCCCTAAGCTGGAGTCGTGCATCTCCAGACCTTTCAGAGTTGAAGGAAGAAAGTTACTCAGCTTTTCTAAGAAGGCTGGGAAAGAGGAACCTTATTGTATTTTAAACAGACTACTTTGAAGGATTTCTTCGTGTTTCATTCCCTCCCCCCATCTCCATGGCAATGCCTTGGCCCTCTGGGATATTCCATTGTAACTTTCTTCTTCACTTTGCCTCCTATTTGGGTTACTTTACATTGTGGTTTTACCTGTCGTTTTAATAGGTTGTTTCATACATTCATCTGCTTTCTAGCTTCAACCTTTTTTACATTAATACTCTCCCTGTTTTTTGTTAGTTTATAACCTTACACCAGAACAAAAACAAAAACATTGTGCTTGAATTTTAGCAGCTGATAGCAGGGAATAAAATCAGAGCAGTCAAGTGTCATCCTTGGTGTGTGTTTCTTGAAGCCTAGGGAAAAGTCAGCACTGTAGGAAGGTGTTTCGGGGTAAAGGTAGCACTGAGTGACTCAAGCAAAACAAGTGTGCAAAGATGACTGCTCCACCCATGAGAGTGCATAGAAAGGATGGATGGCTTGGGTCCTGCTCAGACCTATGTGACTTCCATCCCTAAAGTTGATCTGTATGCTTGTAATGTTCTAATACAGGATACTTGCTTTCCTTTTTATATAGTTCATTGATTTTTTTACTTCCTTTCTCTTTTTCTCTCCAGTATTGACAAAATCTCTAAGATAACCTCTCCAGTATTAATAATTCATGGGACTGAAGATGAAGTCATTGACTTTTCGCATGGCCTCGCATTATTTGAGCGTTGCCAAAGACCTGTGGAGCCTCTGTGGGTTGAAGGGGCAGGACACAATGACGTGGAGCTTTACGGACAATACCTTGAGAGGTTAAAACAGTTTGTGTCACAGGAACTGGTAAATTTGTAAACTACTCTGTAAATTTGCATACTGGGTTTTCTTTTCTTGCTGAACTGCACTCCTCGGTAAATAACTTAAAACCAGAAGGTTTTGTTTACAAATCATGTATGTTGCCTTCATAACTGTACAGGTAATGATTTGTTAACAGACTTAATGAAGGTTTTAATTACCAGAACTAGAAACTGGAAATAGCAGTATCATGCAGTCAGGCTGTGTAATTTATATTTTTTTCTGTGAATTTTTTTTAAACATCAAGATGAGTACTGTATGAAATTTTAATTCTTTAAAATCAAATGCTGTAAAAGTATTGCCAAATGCTTTTGCATATCAAAAGCAAATTTATAAATATTTTTAAACATCTCAATGTACTAAATATCCTGGTATACAAATGTAATATTCTTTCAAAAAGCTGTATATCTAAAGTAATTCAAGTACTCAGAATAAACTGTAAAAATTAAAACTGTATGAAAACACCCAAGTTAACTAGAGTTGACCTGACCTATACTCTGTTGTACAGGGATAGAGGCTTAAATGGATATTTTATTGTAAAAATACATTGACTTTTCTGTAGTCTCCTATTATAGTACATGATCCTTTAAAAAAAAATGAAGTCTTAATTTTTATGCCATCTGTTAACTTACCAGCTGTTCATCGTGTAAATGAGAAGTCCTGATGGCGCTGAATTTTAAATAGTTTTGATTTATGTTTGGTACTGTGAGACGACTACTTAAGATTTTCGTTCAGTTATTTAAAAGACATTTAGGGCTTCAAGAATGATTTTGTATGCAATGTTGTTTTAAATTTTGACTAATTAGAATTGTAGTAGTCTTCCTTATATGAATACTTGAAACTCCATTAGTTGTTCTTCAAGACTACAGACAGACTGGCTGTTTGGTCCCTTTCCACCTTGGCTGTTTTTAAGAGTAGGGCCTGTTCTTTTGGGTTACTATTTGAGAATGTCATGGGTTCACTCCTGAATACAGGGGATAAGAAAACATGTCTTACATTTTATATTAACAAGTATAGTAAAAATAAGTAAATAAAGCTCACACACAAAAACTAAGTTGCCTTTTCTTGAATGAATCTTGCCTGAATAAATGAAAGTAAAATAAAAAAATTAAACTAATGGTATGTAGTCTAATTTGTAATGAATGAGAATTGAAATAATACACACTGTGGATATGTTTTTAAGGCCTTATGTAGTTTTAATTGTTCTGCTTGTTCTGTGGTTATGTCTAAGATTATAGTATATGATTCTTCAAAGTATATCAAGTATTGTGAATGCTTTGGTTCCGATATGTCAAATTAACAGTAAAACAGCAAATGTATCACTCGGCTGTGCTTGTTTGCCTTCTTCTGAACTCCTTATCCCCACACTAAGAGAATAACAATCTGACATCTTTATGGGACATTTCTAACGTTTTCTGTATTTTTAAAATTTGTAGTAACATACTAATTGCACATTTAAGACAGTTAGTTTGATATTCCCACAAATTGAGTGGCTGGGCTGATCGAGTGCAGGCTTCTCTTTCCACCACCTTCCTGGTCTCTCACGATACTTTTTTATTTTTATTTTATTATCTATTTATTTTTGGTTTTCTGAGAACTCACTGTGTAACTCTGGCTGTCTTGGAATTCCTTATGTAGATCAGGTTGGCCTCAAACTCACAGAGATGCCCCTGCCTCTGCAACTCTCCCAAGTGCTGGTTCTAAAAGTGTGCAGTATCACACTTAGCTCTGTCATTCTACTTTTGGGTCAGGTTTTGTTTGTTTGTTTGGTTTTGGTTTTTCGAGACGGGTTTCTCTGCAGCTTTGGGGCCAGTCCTGGAACTAGCTCTTCTAGACCAAGTTGGTCTTGAACTCAGAAATCCGCCTACCCCTGCCTCCCGAGTGCTGGGATTAAAGGCGTGTGCCACCACTGCTCGGCTTGGGGCAGTTTTTTTTTTTTAAGCATCCATATAGAAAAGGAAAATCCCGTGCTTATCATTCTATATCTGGCTATTTATTTAACGTAATGTTCTTAAATTCCATTTTTACTGCATAAGGCGGGATTTCATTCCTTATGGTTAAGTAATACACTGTTGTGGGTGTGTGACACATTTCACTTGTTCAGTAATCTCGTTACTATAAGTATTATTTAATGAGTCAGAGCCTGAGCCCTGACACTCCCAATAAGCCAGGTCTTAAATAAGCCAATTAAACAGTAGTAAAAGGTAAGTCCAGGGTGTAACCATTGTGGGTGGCCACGCTAAGGAGAGGCAAAGAGATCCAGTAAGTCCACTATTCAAGTCCATCTTTGGGGTCCTGACGTTAGGTTTAAATTTGTAGAGGGCTAGCAGTATTCATAGGTAAGTAGTGCCGGTTAAGTTGTCCAGCCCATCACTGCCTCAGCTCCAGTCTCCTTCCTGACTCACTAAAACTGTTACCAGAATTAAGGTCAGAGCCTGTTCGCTGGTAGCCCTAGTAAGTCAGGCTTGGCATACATCCTCAATAAACCCGTTAAAAGTCAGGTTAAAGGTGAAGAGCGTAAGATTTATTCAGTGTGGTCACACATGGGATTCTTACTGTTGTTTCCTATGTTTTGGGGTCCTATCCAGATAGCCATTGCTTGTACCAGTTTCTGAAATAGTTCATTTCTGTTTTCTCTAGTAATTTGGGGGTGCTGGCTCTTTCTTTTAGACCATTAATCCACCTTGAGTTGGTTTTGCATGGGGTAGAAGAAAGGAGTCTTTTGCCACCCAGCTTCCTGGTAGTGTTTGCTGTAGAGGCTGCCCCTTTTCCAGTGCATGTTTGTGGTACCTTTGTTGCAAATATGCTTGCTGTGTGGTGTGTATGTTTATTCTATACCTATGTCTCCATTGATGGGGGTCTTTTTTTAGGGTAATAGCATGTTGGTTTCGTTGTTGTGACTCATTAGTATCTCTTAAAGAGTATTGTGATGCCCCTTGCTTTGTGCATTTGCCCAAGATTGCTATTCAGAGACTTTGTGCTTTCATAGAAATTTCAGAATTGTTATTTTTAGGTTTTAGTTCTGCAGATGATAATATGGTATTATGATGATTACATTGAAATATGGATTATTTTAAGTAGTATAAACATTTTTTAATATTTATTGATTCTTCAATCCATTTGCATTTTACTTCTTGTGTCTTTGATTTTCCTCTCAGTGTTTTGTAATTATTATTATAGAACACTTTCACTTCTTTGGTTGAGTTTATTTAAGTTGTACATCATTTCATTTTGTTGTTGCTGTTGTGAATGAGATTGCTTTAATAGTTTTAGCACATTTCTCTTTTGTTTTTGTTTTTTTGTCTTTCAAGACTGTTTTTCTGTATAGCCCTGCATGTCCCAGAACATATTCTGTAGACCAGGATATCCCAGAATTCAGAGCTCTGCCTGCTTTTGCCTCCCAAATACTGAGATTAAAGATGTACTCCACCACTGTTTTAGCAGATTTCTTATTGGTATATAGAAAAAGCTATTAATTTTGTATCCTACTTTATTGAATTTGTTTATCAGTTCCAGCCTTTTTCTGGAATGTTAGGCTTTTCTAAATACAGAATCATCATCTACACACAGGAATACTTTGAGTTCCTTCCTATTCATATACTTTTTTATTGTTCTTTTATGTAATTTTTCTAACTGAATCTTTTAGTGCTGTATTGAATAACAACAGTGTCCATGGATGCCTTTTGTTGCTGTTGATACTGCTTTCAGCTTTTCCCTATTCACTGTGACATTGACTAAGAGTTTGCCATATGTACTTTGTTAGGTTAAGGTGGTTTTTCTGAACTTAATTGATTTGGGGTTTTTATCACAATGCATTGTTGAGCTTTAGCAAGTCCTTTTGTTTTTGTTTTTGTTTTTTTGAGATGATCATATGATCGTTAATCTTTCATTCTAATCAAGTGATTTGCATAAGTTGAAGCATGCTCGTATTCCTAAGATTAAACTAACTTGAAAATGGTGTTAAAAATCAGAAGGGTGATGTTGAATTCAACTTGCTAGCATTTTGGTTTTTGCCAACAAACTTGTATAATCTCTTACTTTTGGAAACCAGATGTCCAAGGCAGGGTATTGATTAGTTTGTGTTATGAGGCCTCTGATTGACACACAGATATAGCCATGTATCCCTTCATAGCCCCTCACTTCCTACGTCTGTTTATGTACATCACTGATTGTCTTACTAGCTTTTTGTGCAAAACTTTTCGTCTTGTGTTCCTGAGAAATATTGATGTTTTGTTTTTGTGTTGTGTCTTTATATGGTGCCAGCTGCTTAGAATGGGTTTAGAAAGTGTGTCACTGGGACCAAAATACCTTACAAGAAGCAGCCTAAAGGAGGGAGATTTGTTTTGGCTTGCCATTTGAGGGTATAGTCCATCTTAGCCAGAATGGTAGAGTTGGTGGCACCAGGAGAATGTGGCTGCTTGCACACATCACTCAATCACAGTGAGTCCAGCCCAGAACTCAGATTGGGTGGTAACCCAGAAAGCTAATTGCTTTTGGCCCACTTCTCCAGCTCAGTCACACTCTTTGAAGGTCCCACAATCTTCAAAAACAGCAGGTTAGCCAGATGCCAAGTGTTCATATATATGGGGAGAGAAGTCCCATTTAAATTGTAACAGATATTCCCTTCCCTTTATTCCTTTAGAATGGCTTGATAGAAATTGATGTTAATTCTCTTAATTTTAACAATTCATCCATGAAGCCATCTGATAGCACTTTGGTTGGGAGATATAGCTATGGATTCAATGCCTGTTAATTGGTCTGTTCAGGTGGTTTTGTGTTCTTATGGATCTATTTCATTAGGTTGTAAGTGTTGAGAAATTTGTTCTAGAAGATTTTCCAGTTACAATATAATTCTTCTGAACCATTGCTAATGAGCCCTTGTATAATGTTGATTATTATGTCTCCCTTTTCACTTCTTTTATTTGGTGTCACATACACATCTCTTTTCCTGGTTGGTCCAGGTAAAGATTTGTCAGTCTTTTCAAAAAGCTAACTCTGGCCAGGTATGGAGACCTGTACCTGTAATCCTAGTACTCATGAGGCTTAAGTAGATGTGTCCTGAGTTTGAGGTCAGCTTGGGCTACATAATGAGACCTTGTCCCAAACAAATTTAAATAGCCAACTCTTTCATTGATAGTTTCTAGTTTTTCCTTTGGTCTCTTATTTCATTTATCTCAATTGTTATTTGTTTCCTGCTAATTTTTATTTGGTTTGTGATTTAAGAGATGATGTTAAGTTGTATATTTGAAATCTTTGTGGTTTGGTTGGTTGTTTTTTATGTACACTCACTCACTATAAACTTGCCTCTTGGTTGTTTCGAAATTTATAGCATAAAGTGATTTATCAGTGTTACGCTTTTCTGAATCTGGACCGTTGGTGATTTTACCAGTTCTCTGTCCTATGTAAGTGTGTGTGTGTGTGTGTGTGTGTGTGTGTGTAAATATATATTGTAGTCAATTTTTTTCTTAATGACTTATGTGCATAGGTGTTCAATTTAAGAGCTTAATAAATGAAAATGAAGGCTGGAAAGATGACTCAGTAGATAAGAGTACTGGCTGCTCTTCCAGCGAACTTGGATTCAACTGCCAACACCCACATGGCAGCTCACAACTATAGCATGAATAATAAAAACCCAGAGACAGATATGGTGGAGAACATTACAGTCTGCAGTCATGCTGAATGAAGATTGCCCCTTTTTTTGTCTGAGCCTTGGTAGAGGTAGGAACTCTCTAGTGGCCTGGCTGCTTGGCTTTTCTGATCCTCAGCTTGAACCCCAATATCTGTCTCTGGGTTTTTATTACTTGTTCTACACACAACTGCCCTTAAGTCCAGTTCCAGTGGATCCGAAACCCTCACACAGACATAACATGCAGGAAAAACACCAATGCACATAAAATTTAAAAAATAAGTTTCTAAATTAGTAAATGAAAATAACATTTTGAAATTGTAACTGACAGCAATTGTTATATTCTTGGCACATTTATGTATTCTGCATGACCAAAACTTAGCTGGAGAGCAACTTTCTCTGAACAAGTATTAGCGTTACAGAAAGCCCGACAAACCTTCAGATCTTAAGGAGCTTTTTTTACCCTGTATTTTAGAAATGCAGAAGCAAACCCAGATGAGGGAGGTCTTTGCTCAGGGGCTAAGTCCGTTAGCACTGTTGTGGTAAAGCTCCTAGATCCCAGGATCTTCTAAGTAACATAGCTGTGATCTTTTGGGTTCTAGCTATACAAGCGAGCCTGAAGTCCTCCTGCCTCGGTCTCCTCAGTGCTGGCATTGCTCCAGTGACCCTTTGGGATATATTAACATAAATTTC